TAATATATTTAATTTATGTTTTGCTAACATCCAATCCTTTCTAATTTTGTCACTTTGTGGCTTATGTATTAATGGCTTTAATTATGTTTCCAGCATTCAGCTTTTATTTTAATATTTTGCGGACCTTTCTGATTTATTCCTTTTGTGTTGACTCTTTGACTTTTCCATTCAAGATGTTATCTGCTTCCAATATGCCTAGGTACTTGTAACCATCATCTTTTGCTAATGCTTTCACTATGTTTCCATTTCCCAATTCTATTCCTTCTGTTTTTTTCCATTTTTTCTTGCCGCGTGGATAACATAGCATATTTTTCAAGTCCAAAGTTCATTTTGATGTCGCTGCTGAACAATTGAACTGTGTTGAGCGTCGATTTAAGTTCAGTGGGGCTGAACTTTATCATCATCATCATCATCATCATCATCATCATCATCATCATCATCATCATCATCTTGTAGGGCTGCATTATTAGCTACCAGGTTGGAGAGTATACTCTGTTGTAGAGTATAAAAAATAAATGTTTGCAGATATCTATATTAAGGAGCAAGAATTGACTACATCCTTCCTGCTGAAAATGCAGGTTGTGCAAATTTTTATTATGGTGCATTTGATTTTGGCTTAGTATGTTCTATGCACTGTAATTTGAAGATTACAAGTCAGATTATGATATGATGTATCAAACAAACAATGATTAAGTAAATCATGGCTTAGTATAACCAGAATATACTCAATAGTAAACTTGGGTTTGTTGTAATCACAGTGGTGGATAAAACATTTTTAACTAAAGAACTGGACTGAGCTATTTTGCCTCCATGTAAAATCTGTCTCTTGAGTCATTCCATATAATTACTTCCAAAGCCATTTTATGTCTTGTAATTATAATGGGTCATGGCCAATGGTGGGTTCCTACCAGTTCGGCCAGGTTCGGCCGAACTGGTAGTGGTTTGGTGGCCTCTGTCACTAGAACTGGTAGTGACCCAGGCTTGCCACGCCCTCAAAATGGTTCCCTGGTCGGCGCCTTTGGCGCTGCCATCTTTTTTTAAGTTCTGGGCATGCACAGAACATTTTTAATTGCACTGTGCATGCACGCACAGCATGCATCAAGCACACATGCAAAGTGCATATATTAGCAAACTGGCAGTAGTGCTGGCAGGAACCCACGGCCTTAGTCATGGCCTAAGTTTATTTTAAAAAATTGGATGGATGGATATGCTGTATGTCAAAGAGAGGACAGTTGGCTCCTTTCTGCTTAAGAATCTGTCTCTGCTAAAGCTAGATCACCTTGTAGAAATGGCAGCTTGCCATCTGAGCAGATGGACTGAAGTATAAGCAGCCAAACTGTTGCTTAAGAACATAACATGCATTGTCTAAGGAGAGAGTTGGAAACATTAATGACCAGTACTGCTTCTAGGACAGAATTTTGATGCCCCTTATCAACAAGCAGTCTTCCATTGATAGAATGCTCCACTAATTATAAAAGCCAGCTGCAATTTCCTACAGTTATCAGAAAAATGGTTTTACAAAGAAACAATCATTCTTATAGGGCCAATTCAATGAGAGCAAAAATTCAGCACAGTGAATTCATAACACCTGGTTGTTTGGTATACCACAGGAAGAAAAGTGTTATGCTATAATTAGACTTGAAGTAGAATTTGGAAAAAAATTTCAGCCATGCAGTTTAAATAAATTAACTTAGAAAAATCTATAATAAAGTGTTCTTGTTGGAAGAAATACCCATCTGGATTCATTTCCAAGTGCCGAGAAAGACACTGGAAACATGGAAGCTGTTTGGAAGGTTTAATGGTGGACAGGAGCATATGGTTTGAGGTCCTGCGCAATCGAGCACATGAGTGAGAGAGAGATTTATACCAGGGTGGGTTGTTGCCAGTGTTGCTGTAGATTCACTTTGCTGACTCACTTTGGATTGCATGGATGATGGCTGTATAACAATAAAGGAGCCACTGTTATTGTAATATTAAACTGCTGGATGTTTTTTAAAACCTTAGAAGCTAATGGGAAAACTAATGGCTTAAACAGTCACTCAGTACTTGCTGTGTTGGCAAAAATCACACATCTCATTTCTTTGGTTGTCCAGATCATTGACTCTACCCTGGTTCAATAGTATCCATAATGGCTCAGAGCATATCATGCAAAAAACGAGTTTAAATTACAGGGGAAAAGATTTGTTAGACACCAAGAAAAAATTCCTAACAGTAATAGCTGTTCAACAACACACACTGTGAGAGAGAAGTGAGAGAGTCTCTTCAATATTTTGAGCCCACTTTATCATACAATCTTTAACTAATTCTGTTTCGAAATCCATCTGTACTAATACATTGTATATCCTCTTTATATGCATTAAACTTTGATCTCTTATTTGTTTAAATAGATTATCCTCGACTTGTATGAAAACAATTTTTTTGATCTGTTTTCCACCTGGCCTGTAACTGCCCATACTGGAACCATGTTTGAATTACC